CAGGAACCCATTTCCCTCCAACCCCCTCTGCCCAGGCTGCCCAGGTTTTGAACACCTTAATCAAATATTCTCTCTATTGTTTTTTTTCCCAAGGAGAGCAGACTCAGCTTCCCCAACCATCCACACAAGTGATATCTCTTGATCCTGAAACTACAATAGATGGATTTATACTGTGGCTTTGCAGGATCAAAACACTGTTCCACATTCCCATCGCCAATATTTCTGACATTCCCTTTTTTCAGTCAATTTCCACCTTTCTTTGTCACTTGCCTTTTATCTCTGCGATTTCACTTCTTTCTCTTTCTACCGTTCAGTTCACTCTTTTCCGATCCTGTCTCCTTAAGCTTTGAGTATTAAGTTGGTTGAAATGGAGAATGGAAACGCCTTTCACTGTCTGAGCTTGGCTCATGTATAATATTTTCCTCCTCCTCTCCTTCAAACACAACCCCAGAACAGCGCCTCCTGCAGTCTGACTTTTAGTTTGCATTGTCTACTCACAGGATGGGGTTACCACTGGCTAAGTCAGCATTTATTGTCCATTCTTAGAGTCAACCACATTGCTGTGGGTCTGGAGTTACATGTAGGCCAGACCAGATAAGGATGACACGTTTCCTTCCCTGAAGGACATTAGTGAACCAGATAGGATTTTGTAAAACTCACAGGTGGTATGGTGGCCCAGTGAGCAGCACTACTGCTGCATCATGCTGGGGACCTGGGATCAATTCCACCCTCAGGCAAATGTCTGTGTGGGTCCCCTCTGGGTGCTCTGGCTTCCTCCTCCCCCCACAGTCCATGGGTGAGCAGGTTAGGTGAATTGGCCATGCTAAATCACTGATAGTGTGTAGGATAGCCAGGGGAAATGCAGGGATAGTGTAGGTAGGTGGGATGCCCTTCAGAGGGTTGGTATGGGCCAAATGGCTTGTTTCCACACTCTATGAATAGTGGCTGCTGTAGGCATAACCTTTTTTTTAGGAGATCAAATTTCACCATCGGCCATGGTAGGATTCCAATCCCGATCACACCAGAACATTACCCGGGGGTAGTGGTTAAAATCCCGCTGGGGCAGGCAGCAGAATTTAAATTCCACAAATTTAAACAAAAACGTGGAGTGTAAAACCAGCCTCAGAAATGGTGCCGTGAACTCCAGTTGTCATGACAACCAAACTGGTTGGTCAGAGCGGAAAGGCGGATTTTCCTGACCCACGCTTTGGTCCTGAAGGATCCTACACAACAATCGGCCAATGGGTTCTTTGGGATTTGTGTCTGGTTTGCTACGTACCTGAAATGTTGTCAGTCACAGGCCTGTGGATCAAGATCCCGAAGGTGGGGTAAGGCCGGGGAGTTCTGCCCCAACTGCGGTGCGTGCTGTTGTTACTTTTATGCCAGGGAGGTCAGGGAGGTGGGTCCACACCCTATCACGGTGGAATTGAACTTCAATTAAGGTGGCTCAGTGGTTAGCACTGCTGCCTCACAGCGCCAGGGACCCGGGTTCGATTCCACCCTCAGGCGCCTGTCTGTGTGAAGTTTGCACATTCTCCCCGTGTCTGCGTGGGTTTCCTCCGGGTGCTCCGGTTTCCTCCCACAGTCCAAAGATGTGCAGGTTAAGGTGGATTGGCCATGCTAAATTGCTCCATAGTGTCTAGGGATGTGCAGGCTGGGTGGGTTAGCCATGGGAAATGTAGGGTTGGTGGAGAGGTGGCATGGACTTACTGAATGGTCTGCTCCCACACTGTAGATGTTCTGCAATTCTATGAATAAAGACTGGAACTGAAAGCTAGCCACAGTTTGACATGACAACAATATTCACTTGCAATTTAAAAAGTGAGTTGGTTCACTAATGGCCCTTTAGAGAAGGAAATCTGCCATCCTTACCTGGCCTGGCCTACATGTGACTCCAGACCTACAGCAATGTGATTGACACTCCTCTGAAATGGCCTTAGAGAGCCACTGGGGTTCAAAGACAATAAGGGATGGGACAACAAACATTGGCATTGCCAACTATCCCAGGCAAGAATTCTTGGAAATGCGAACGGCCGTGACGTTCATTTGGGAGGTTCAGATTTCACCACACTGACAACCTGAAACCACTCCCTAACCCCTTCCCCCATTCACCCCCTCCCCATCCCCTGTCGTTAGCCCATGGTGTGTGGGAACAGACGAGGGGTCCAACTAAACCAGCTTTTAGTAAAAGACAGTAACATTTACAGAACAACAACAAGCTGCCACTGGAAATGCCATTGGCAGTTCGGATTTAAATTCTCTCGAGCTGTTGGGGGTGGGGGAGGAGGTTTTCTGTTAATCTCAGAGTTTGTTGCCATCAGTTCTTCACAGATTAAATACCGTAAGGCCTACAGTTCACACCTCCCCTTAGGAACAGGCTGGCGTTGTAATCAAAAGAGGATTGCCTGGTGGAGATTCTAACTCTCCGGTATTCTGTGAGCACGTCCCGCCGTCTTTCACAATGTCCCCAAAGACCAATTGTAAGATCGCTGCTGGACACATGGCAGCTAATTTTCACACAGCAAGATCCCACGGACAGCAATGAGAGAATGACCAGATCTGGGAAGGTGATGGAGGGATATGCGTTGGCCAGGACACACTCCCTCTGCTATCTTCTTCAAGATAGTGCCACAGAATCTCCAACATCTGCCCAGTTGAAGGGGCGGACAGAGCCTTGGTTGAACATCCCATCTGATCATCTCAACACATTGTCGGCCTTAACTTTGATATAGAAGTCCAAGAAAGTGGAATTACGAATGAACAGTCCTCTCGACTAGGGGATGCACACGCTGCTTGACTGAGTCACTGCCAAAGTAACCGGGCACTTTTCTGAAGGTGGTAGCTTTGGCTAACCCTCAGAGGAACAATGAAAGAAACTGTGTTTGAACATTGTCACAGAGTTCAGTCTGAACCATTGTACTTTTCCAGGAGCAGACTGGCCTTGTGTATTTGCAACTGTCCCTGATTCGACTTCAGTTACTTCTAGTGTTTTATTTTTAAAAAAAGAAAATTGTTCCGTTTTTGAGTTCCTGCTGCTCAGGGGCTGTCCCTGTCCTTGGATTGTGGGGAATAGACGGAACGCCTCATGTAGAAAGGATCGAGAGAACGGAAACTGATCAGAATGATTGATTGAAGTCCCTCGAACTCTGGGGAACACAATAAGTGGATTCAGGTGCAGTGTGGTGTCAATATAAAGAAACAAAATGCCCCTGAGTTTCCCTCGAGACAGACGGAGGGAGAAGGACAGAAACTCAGTAGTCACTCATTTAGAACCTTCTAATAATAATTCATGACTTTAGCACTTTTTCTTTCTTTCTGTTAGTCTAGCACATGAGTGATACCTTCAACAAACTCCAAAAAACAGTTGTGATTTTGTTGTTTGGTACAAAGGCGTGGGATGTTATGTTTGAAGGATGTTAGTGGCTGTTAAAAGTAAGTAGTGCCAACAAAATAAAGGATAGTAGGAACTGCAGATGTTGGAGAATCTGAGATAACAAGGTGCAGGGCTGGATGAACACAGCAGGCCAAGCAGCATCAGAGGAGCAGGAAGGCTGACGTTTCGGGCCTAGACCCTTCTTCAGAAAGGGTCCTTCTTTTCTGAAGAAGTGTTTAGGCCCGAAACGTCAGCTTTCCTGCTCCTCTGATGCTGCTTGGCCT